TCTTTCCCCAAACCTTTTGTCAGCACTGCGTGGCAGTTGCTTCCAGCTGAGATTTGGAGTAGGAAATATTAACCTAATATCCTGCTCCTGTGTGAAAGCTGTATTCTGAAACGCCCTTGTAACTGCCAGAACACATGGCATAAGTTGTAGGGCAATCTTGACCTCCTTTTGTTTCCTTCTTAACTGTCTGCAAAATGGAACCTGTAGTTTCTGTATTTCACTTGCAAAGATTGTTTTATAGAGTTGTTGTTTAGGTAGGTAGTTTGTTAGCCAGTGATTATATAAAGACTGTTAATTAACCCCATTCGTGCTAAAGAAAAACAAGTTTCTGGTTTATGTCTCTAATAGAATTGCTTGCCCCCCATATTCTTCCCTGTACAAGTTCTAGATCCCCTTGGTTTGTGCATTTTAGGCCCACATATGATTCTCCAGGATTGAAGATTTGCCTGCAATAAAATGAAGCATTGCCTATCAGTAATAAACATCTGAAATGCCTCATGTCTAGGAGAAGAACACATGCTTGAGCATCTCCTTGAGGTACAGATATATCCTGAACCACACTAAAAACTAGAGAATTAGATTAGTTGATGCAGCTTACAAGACCACTATGCAGGTATCTGCAGACCCTAGCAAGCAGTCGCCATCCTCCAGGTGAGCCGAGGTGTTGCCCTGTGCTCATAGGGACACTTGGAAACTTAACTCCTGCTACTTTTGGTCTCAACCCAGGAAAGGGGACTATAAGAAGTGCTGCTCCAGAGATCAGAGGAGTCACAGCTCTCCCTCCCCAGTCAGAAGACATCTCCCCGCAACTCCAGTATCCCTGACTTTCAAAGCTGACCCACACATAAATACCTCAAAGGCAAAAATTAACACTGACAGTTGTAGCACAGCTTCTGATACTGCTCAAGCAGCAGACTCTCTTTTCTGGTACCCACATGTGCCAGCTCTGAATGGCTTTGTAACAGTGTCTGGCACGAGGAAAACTAGTGTTGGACTCCACAGCACCAGCAGCCTTGGTGTTGATGGCTCATATGGCATAGACAGACTCATCCACACCATCATAAGCATCTTTGGTGCTGAGACACTGCCTCATCACTGGCCAATTTAGCCACAGAAATGGTGCTAGGAATCCTTAGCTGTTCTAGGGATCAGAGAGGTGTTAGACTGACCAAGTTGTTTTCACAGTCTCTTTGTATGAGCCAGGGACTAGTTGGAGAACTCTGCATTGGCTTGCTCCACTGATGGAAGAGGAATTCACCTTCTCAGCCTCTTCAAGGAAATGCAGTAGAACCTCAGCCAAAGGTGGTAGTGGGGCATTGAGTCTTTCATGTGTTGGTCACTAACTTTAAATCCCACTCCAATTGTAGCAGTTGAAAGTTGTTCTTGACTTACACCTGTCACGGGACCTGTAGAGTATGCTCACTAAGTTTTGATTTCCAGAAGAGTCAGTGTCATTCATAGAGGTGCTTTCTGGCTATTGTTGAGTGTTGTGGTCTATTTATTTATGTATTTTATTTATTTATGCAGGCGAATCAATGTGGGAACTCGGTTTCAAGCAGAAATCCCACCCCTCCGAGACAGAGCTTTGGCAGCAGGTGATAAACATAAGGCAGACTTGGTGTGGTGCCCTTGGGGAGATCTTGAGATCAACAAGACTAATCAAGAAAATGGTAAGGACTTGGGAAAGTTGGTAATATAGACCAAAACAAGAAATGGCAGCAGTGTTGGGGTAACTCTTTAAGTTCTGTTTAAAGGTGCTTCACAGTCCTGATCAAATGTCAGGTTTTACTAAGCTTTGTTGATAAAGCTTTCTGGAAAATAATGGAGAACTAGTATTTGTAGATTTCTTAAAGGTCAGACGGTACCATTAGATCGTTGACCAAGAAAAGTGAACTTTTAGCTCAATTTGCTGCATTTTTGGACAAAAACACCAGTAACTTTGAATGCCATGGTTAACCAACTCCAGAATTTTATAGAATGTTTCAGGCATTGGTAGGCAGAACCTTACTGGTTTTGATGAAAACTGGAAATACTGAAATGGGGACACATTGAGAAGACTGTTGAGGGCAGCTAGCAACATCTTGCAGAACACTATCACTCAGGTCAACCCCTTCCTTATTAGTTAGAAAGGCTGCCATCCTGAATGAGATCTTTCCCAGACAGACAGAAAATAAATATGGATGGGAGAGATGGAGCCCTTAGCATGGGGAATTTTGGGGCCGCAGGTTGGTCAGGCATACACAATACCTGGCATGGGGAGGAAGTGGGGGCATGGGAGAAATGGTGGGCATGGGGAAGGGAGAATAAGTGGTTATATAGAACCTGTTGCAGGGGGCAGAATGGGAGACCCTGACATGGCGGAATTGGAAATACATGGATTCCTGCCTTTCTGGAGAGTGGGGGACATGCATAGAGACTGTTGCATGGGAGGAGGGAGATTTCAGGGAATTCCTGAAATAGAAGCAAGTGGGTGGGTGTAAGAGTACGCTGAACTCCCACAGGTCATGAGTGACGCACACCACTGGAAGCAATGGTGTGACCCTTTACCCTAATTTAGCATGATCATTTGTATAGCATAAGCTACAGAATTTCATGCAGTTACTGTTGTGATAAGCCTGACCACTTGAGTTTCCCTAAAGTAAATTTGAGGTCATCAAGAGGTGAAGAATCTACTAATCCTTGTTGTAGTTTATACCAATTTTAAAAAGGCCTGTGGCTGTGGTGCTGTGGCAGGCTTGCTGGCTTCCCCGTGCAAGGTTCTGGGTTCAAGATCTTGGTCTGCCTTAGCTGTATTCCCCCTCTTTTGCTGTTAAAAAATATGTGCTGTATTTTTTTTATTTGAATTTCCATGGTTTTAATTTGCAACCGTTGCATCACATCACTGAGATGTAGCAGAGAGAAGCAAAAAAAAAAGTATATACAAAAGATGGTGACAGAGACGTTTTCCGTTAATATCTCTGACCTGTGTGGAAATTGCTTTATCTTGGGGAAGGGAAGATGAGGGAAAAAGAGTAAGCATGAGGTAATAAATGCTGATGTACTTTGGCCATGCTCTAAAGCAGCGGTGGCTGACCTTTTTGACTTGTAGGCTGGATGAGTGGTCCCAGGTCCATCTGTGGACCAGTTCCAATCTGTGGGTCTGGTATATGGGACTGTTAACTGCTACTACTGCCTCACTGTCAAATTTCTGAACCATTGGGGAGATCTATGGGTGTACAAATTACATGGCTGTACAGACTGGGGATTGAGTGCACCCTTGCTTAAAGGAGCCCTAACCTTCCTTGTTTGGGACAGAACTTGCAGTTCATGTTCATCTGTGTGTGTTCCCTTGCACTGTGCTATCAAGCGAGCATGAAACTGGACCTGATTGCTGGGCTGAGAAAAGGAATTGGGCTTACTAAATTCTGGGTTTTCTCATTAGCTGTAGCAGTAGCTCTGGACCATCCTTTCCTGGAAGAAAGGAAAAGTTGTGTGCCAGTGGTCATTCTGATTGGAATTCTGTCACCTTTGGTGTTCCTCAGTGCAAATCTACAGGGAATGCTTCTTTGTAGGGCAAAAGGATAATTTCTTGTAGAGGTTCATTCAGTACTGGCTCTCTCATGTGCCCTTCTCAACCTTCTGTTCTGTCACAACATGGTCTGCAGGCACTAAACTCACTTGGAGTGAGGAGTTTGAGTTCCAAGTTTGTCCGACCCTAGGATATTTCTAGTTCAAGTTTGAAAGGACTAATTAGGATACAATGGAACTGTTACCCAAGATGTAAGTGGGCACTAGCTGGCCAAAAACGATACTGAGATCCTCAACCAAGCTTATTGAAGAGGAAAAAACAGCAACAGCTTCTCAAATTCTTACTTCTAATCTCCTGCTTCTTCCACTCTACCTCCCTTATTTCTTTTTTTCTTTGTCATTTACCTGGAATAGTGGAAAATCTGTTAGCTGCTGCCTGTTCAAGTATTTTTCCTGGGGCTGGTACAAATCAGGAGCTGGCACTGCACTTCTTGCATGAAACAAAGGGAAATGTTCTGGTGAGTCCTCTCCAACCTGTTTTATCAGTCTTTTTTCATTATTGTGGAAGAAATCTGAATACTGGCCTGAAAGGCTGTTAGCTATCTGCAAGAAGCTTGTTTGAGAGAAGATAGCTTGCAAAACACCACATCTTTTTGCCATGGCATCAGAAACCTGGTGTGTGGCATCTCTGGCTGCTGCTGTTCATAGCATGAGTCCTCACACAGATCTGACAGAGCAAGTCAAAATAATAGACATCATCTTGATTATTTCAGTCTTGGGCCTTTCCTATGCAGAGGCTGCTAATAACATCAAATTGCATCATTTTCTGTGGGGACTTTTTAAACTTTTAACCCGTAAGGTTCATTTAGTTGACAACTGCAATTAGTTTATTGATCTCGCCTGAACTGGAAGATGGGTGTCATGGGATGGAGCTTAGTGTACTGGGAATTGGGACCTTGGGCAAGTCCCTTAACTTCTCTGTGCACATCTGTGAGATGGGCTTATTTCTCCACGTTGCTGCACTGTAATGTGGTAGATGCTATGAAAGGTACCAAGTGTATGGCTACTCCTCACTTAACGTTTTAGTTATGTTCTTGAAAAATGCGACTTTAAGCGAAATCGTGTTAAGCGAATCCAGTTACACACAGTAGTTACCTACTAGCAGGTGGCAGCCAAGCAATATTATAACCCAACATTGCGTGACTTTAAATAAGCATGTTTTCTAATAGATCAGTGACATAATAACGAAATATTAACCTGGATGATGTTAAGTGAAGAGTACCTGTAGTTTATAAAGGCCAATAACTTGGCCACCTACTTCTAACTTTAGCACAAATTATAGTTGCTGATTAAATGCAGGTCAGGTAGTTTTATAGATTTTTATACTGATTTTCTGCCAGTGGTAATGATCATTAGCTTTTATTTTGGAATCTTGTTCACTTGACTGAATTTGAGTTTGGATCGCTGGTGTTCTGGACCTGCACAGAAATCCTTATTTAGAGCTGGGTTGTTGGATGGGAACAAACAGGAACTGGTGTTACCTAGAATCATCTCTAAGCAGGATGATTCTTGTACTGTATAGGCTTTCTGGTTATAAGAGCAATAGTCTCTCAAAAGCCTTGAGTTAGAGTAAATAAATACTATTGTACCCAGTTTGCAGGTGGAAAGACTGAGGCCTGGAGGGGTGAGGTAACTTGCCCAGGAGCCAGAGTCAGTGTAGGGTCAAGAACTTAATGCTTGAAGTCTTGGCTCACTTTCCACCTTTCACCATACCTTTTAAGCACACTAGAGCATGCTGGGGAAAGAGACTAGCTCCCTTTCTGTTAATCTGCCATTAATGTAGATGATATTCCAATGTTTTTTCTGGTGTTCTTTGTTTACATACCTGTACACTTTTTAATTTTTTTATTTTTACATGAAACCAATTCTGCTGTTGTGCTGTCTCTTAGGCTGCTTTGAGCAAACTGTTGCTGAAGGGGCCAGGGCGACCACCAGTCCATCCCTTGGCTGACTACCACTACACAGGTATTCTGAGTGGGAGCTGCTGCCTTTTTGTCTCAAGTAGCTGATCTACAGGAATGGATTTCTCCCCATCCTATCTATATAGACTTATAACAGAAGTCAGAAAACACTTAACTTCCAAACCAGCTGATCAACTGCAGGGAACCTTCCCTTGCAATGCCATGACTTACATGTGGCGTGTGAATTCATGCACTTGCAAATCCTAAATCCATTTATCAATAAGTCACGTGTCTGTGATCAGAGACTTCCTTTCAGGGAAAAATGATAACTAGTCACTGAGCCTAGGCTACAGAAAGATGCCGGGGGAAGCTTGTTAGATGATGGATGGAAAGTCTAATCTCGGAACTGCACATTCCCTGTCATGAATTTGCAGAGGGGAATTGAGGGAGTTCTGCTGGAATACTAATCCCTCACTGCCTGTGCTGCCTATGATAGGAAGTTGGAGAGTAGCGAGAACAGCAGGCTGTTCACTAATTCCTCTTTGAAAGCAAAACTGCAGTGTCTGATGCTGCTGTGTCAGCCCTTATATTCAGACAATGTTGCAAGGTAGTAACTTCCATGATTGAGCTAGCCCTACATACCTGATTGATCTGAGGGCAGAAAGAAATGTAATAGCTTTTCCTGCAGTTCACCAGAATAGCACCTTGGTTCATATGCACACCCCTGTATATAAGACACTTCTAACAGGCATGCAGAGTACATTCAATTGTTGATCTATGGAAAAAAGAAAATGTGAGAGGGAAGTGGGAAATTCTGAATGGTGTGTGGCATTACAGAGGTAGAAATAGTACTATATGGCATGTGCATTATATATTCAGCTAATTGATACATTTTGGGCTGGCTTTATGTAAAGGAAAGCTAAAGAGAGAGAGTGAGAAATTACTTGAACTGAAAATTTCTGTTTAAATATTTGTACCTACAGGATCAGACAAGTGGAAAGTTGCAGAGAAGAAACTTTTCAACAAAGGCATTGCAATCTATAAGAAAGACTTTTTCCTGGTCCAGAAACTTGTAAGTTACTCTGCATTTACTTGGATCAGGAACTATACTTACTTACATCTTTAGAGTATTTCACTCAGTGGGGTCATAATCTTAATTCTTTAAAACAGTAGTGGAGAGTTCTGTCTTCAGTGGGTTCTAAAATTTCACATGACCAGACTTAGCAGTGGTCACCAAATTTAGGAGGAAGTCTCAGAGAAATTTAGGGTACTAAACATTAAACTTGTTAAAAAATGACCCCCAAGACTTCCTGACTTTTTTTTTTTCCCATTTGTTAGTCCAGTCTCCCTCGTTAATATATTCAAAGATTAATTTACACAGAATATACATATATTCCGTATAAGGTGATCTTTAAAATGATATTTATTTATTTGTATGCATGTATGTATATGTATATACAAATAAATACGTATTTGTAAATATATGTATATAGTGTGTGTTCTGTGTAAGGTGGCAATTAAGTGAACTGGTTACAAAGTTTAATATTGAGTAGAGAATGTTCCTATTGAATAAAGGGGAAAGCAGAGGCTAAATAAGAGGCTTTAAGGTAGAAAATTAATACAAGACAACGGGTTTAAAAGAACGGTGATATTATATTTACTCAAGACAAGGTTCCCCCTCTCCCCCATTTAGGCAGCTGGTGGGGCAAGTTTTGGAGGAGCCAGGCAGTAAGGTGCAGGAGTCAGGCCACTTGGCTCCCCACCACCTGGTACCCCTCCATCTATCTCCCTGTAGCTGCTTACCCCACTGCAATGGGGGGGAGGGTGAATTTAAGACAACCCTCCAAAAATTAGATTCTAGACATGGAAAACTTTAACAAACTTATATCTTTTTTTCATGCCTGGAATCTAATTATTTGGGAGGTCATCTTAAATTCAAAGTCATTTTGGATTCAGGTAAAAACAGTACAATAGAAAGAACTTGGAACAAATGCAATTTGCATTTATGCGTTCATGATTACTTGTTTATTCTTAAAAACAAAAATCTTACCTTTATGCTTGTGCAATGTTTTGTTTCATTTTGTTTTTAACATCAGATTAAAACCAAGACAGTGGCCCAATGTGTGGAGTTCTACTACACATACAAAAAACAAGTGAAAATTGGTCGGAATGGGACCTTAATCTTTGGGGACATTGATGTTGCTAATGAGAAGTCTGTGAAAGATGAAGCTGAAATTGATATTAAGGTAAGCACTTGACCCTTTCTGCTGTTGGCTTTGTTGCCAAAGGCTGCTTTCATGGACTGAAGCAGTTTGCTCTTCATAATTATATTTATTTTGTGTAAGTAACAAGAGGCTTAAAAATATGTGTTCTTAAGAATGGCAGAGATTCCCTAGGCCATTGTCTGATTTAAAAATGCCTTGTTCTATGTCAGTCTCAACTTTCGGCAAAGGCAGTAAAAACAAATTTGAGTGATGCTGTGGGCCCAGTCTTATAATCTTGAATCCTATTTCACATGAGGACCTCTGCTTGCAGTGGGAAAGAAAGTCAAATAAGACAATATTAACTGTCCCTTTAACTTTTTGTGAAGAGCTCCCATAGGTTTGCACGTGTTCTTCCTCCCAGAAGAGTTATTTACAATGAGGACCATGGGCACATGGTGGAAGAGAATGAGGAGGAGGAAGAGGAGACTGAAGAGAAGGTGATTAAGGAGGCAGAAGAGCTGGATGACAGAAAAAAGAGTACAGCATTTCCCAAAGATGCACAAACACTACAAGCCAATGAAATGGTATGTAGTACATCTGTCCCCAACTTGCCCCATGTACAGTTCAGAAAACATTGAGTAAAATGGCAATTTCAGATGCATTTTTTTTTCCGCTTGGGGGAAGTGCTGAAAATGGAATAGCTATGGACCTACTAGCATCCCAACGGTGTGTTACATAGTTTACTTGGAAGAGTTTTGACTGGGAAGGAGATTATAATAAGAGTAGTCAATTGTCCGTCAAGAATGATTGGGAGGGGGCACCGTGGACAGAGGCCCGTGTCCATCCATCCCGGCCGCCCACCCGCCCCCCCCTGCTTTGTGTCCGGCACTGCTCGCTCCAGGTTCGCCTGGCCCATGTCCACCTGCCTCTCCTCCCTGCTCCCCTCCCTCCCTTCCAGCTGTTAGCATGGCACAGTCACAGTATCCCCCACTCCTGCTCCTGTCCCTCACCCTCTCTGCCAGCTTTTGTCAGGATGTGGCGGGGCAGCAGTGGCATGCTCCCTGCCATCATGGCAGGCGGGGACAGAGTCCTGCATATGGCCCCGCCCCCACTTCTCCCCCAACTGGATGAGGGGGTGAATGGGCCCGCTCCCCCCACCCTCGCCCCTGCCTATTCGGGGCCAGGCCGGATTTCTGCCCCCCTCCCTTTCAGGGTTGTTGTCAGGGGGGTGGCGGCAGCATGGTGCCACCACCGTGCCCCTCCCTCTTCCTCCCTGCAGGCTTTTATTAGGGCCCAGCAACTCCACATCCCCCCCTGCCATGTCTGGCCCTGCCTCCGTTTCTCATCTGGTCAAGGGAGGAGGGAACGGGCCTGCTCTATTGCCACTGCCTGCAGGGATGGCACATATTTTCTCCCTCCCCCCCGCCCGCTCTGTCCCCTGTGTCCCTGCTGTCTCCTGTCCAAACGCTCTTGGAGTACTCAGATTGGCTGACTGAAACAACCAATCAGAATGCGAATAAAGCATTACAGACAGACTAAGGCTTTTATAATATTAGAATCCTGCACAACTCCCTGTGATTTGTACTCCGATGGGAATGATGGTTGGGTATGTTAGAGATCCCACAAATTCTTTCTTGTGGGCAAGATCTTGGACTAGGATAGGATAACTGAAGGTTAGAAGTGCAGCCACCATCCATTCTTCCAAGAGGTTTTCATTTTCACTTTGTTTTAACAACTTTCTCTTGCTGTGAAGGTCAGTGAAGTCATCAGTTTAAGCAGCCATGAGGCTAATGCACCAGGAGAAGCCAGTGGTAGAACTGGAAGAAAGCCTAAAGAAGCAACAGTTAAGTTTCGGAAAACTCTTCCCCCAGGACAGAGGAGGAGGCGGAAACAGAAGATAAAGCCAGACCTCACTGCTAAAATGCAAAATGAGGAAAGCACGTTTCCATGTAAAAAATGTGGAAGGTAAGAGCAGTTGAATGGATTTGCCATAACAGGATTGTTCTACATCAGCACTACAGCTCATTCTCAGCCTGATGTTTCCTTTGTACACTTGGTTAGGAACTGGTGGGAACAATGTTAGCATCTTAATGCCTTTGGCCCTGTGCTGCTGATGACTCACTTCATAGGCGACTTGCAGTGAGGGTGCTCCCCCCCCCCCGACAGGGCCATCGCTGTTGCCAGTGGCATCTGCTGGAACTCACTACCTCTCATTGCTGCTGCTGGCGCCTGTGGGAGATCACCAGTGGCTTCTGCGGGTGCCCCCCAGACTCAGGAGCCACCAGTCGCCCATGACTCGCTCTTCCAGATTACAGTTTCAAAACTATCAGTTCTTAATGACTTGTGGCCTTCAAGGGCATGCCATTTTTCATTGTAGTAGGCATACAAATACCAGTGTCCTAGCCTCGGAGTGCTCAGCCTCTGGCCCCTGGGCCAAATGCAGCCATTGCATCTGACTCATGGAACTCCCCAAGCATCAGGAAATTTGGTGGTGGCGAAGCAGTGGCCATTAATATGGCCACCCTCCTTTTTCCTTCCCCCCCCCTAGCCCTGTGTAGTGGGCTGGGCCTGCTGGTGACCCCTTCTCTTGTGCAGCCGGGCCACATCCTGTCCACTCCCCTTCTGGATCAAAGTTGGGCCATGCCCCCTTCATTCCCCTCAGGGCTGGGTTGGGGCCTGGCCTTGCCCCCTACCCTCCCATTGTAGGTGGGCCACACCCGCTTTGCTGTGGGGCTGGATTAGGGTCTGGTCATGCCCCCTCCTCTAAAGCCAGGCCACCCCCTTCCCCCCTTCACAGGGCTGGGCCATGCCCCCTTTCCCTGTGGGGCTGGGTTCAGACCTGGTCACACCCCCTCTCTTCTCTTTCCCATGTGGCAGGGTCAAGGTCCTTTTCCCGGCACCCTCCCTCAGCCCCTTTGCGCACCCACGTGGTGCCTGCTGTGACCACCCGGGGGCTGGATTGGGAACTTTGGCTAAATCCAGCCTGCGGATAGATTGGGTGCTGCCAGTCCAGCCCACCAGGGAAAAAGGTTGAGCACCACTGTCCTAGCCGGATTGCAGCTCAGATAATTCTGCTGATGTAAATTTTCCCTTCAGCTTCAGTTTGCTATAATATGCTTTAGTGCTGATGTGTGCTGTTAACAGCTGCTATGTTCCATCTCGGCAGTGTTTACATTTCACTGAATGGTAGAGTGATTCCTGAATAGTTGATGAAGTGCTCTAGGAACTTGTCAAGTAAACAATGCCATTGAAACACCAGGCATTATCATTACTGTAGCAGCAGGTGTCAGGTAAATGGTGGACAGTTGTTCTGATTAAGTTTACACCAGTCTCTTGTGCCTGTTTAAATGTATTTTATTTTAGTTATGCGACTCCAGGAGTTTGGGCATCTGTTACCATCAGTGTGAGTCATGCCAAGAAAATTCAGTTCATTGCATAAATAATGTAATCATAAAGAATAGTGAGCTTTGTAGTACCAGCAGTTACTCCTGTATTTAAAGTGAGCAGGGTGATGAGAACTGACAGAGACTCTTCTGTATCATGGAGGAGTATTTGACATTGAGGCACTGCTACAAGGAGTTACACAGCTGTATTTCTGGCCTGGATATTGGTGCAGGAGAAATAGGAGAGGATTCTGAATGGCCTTCAAGCTTCCATTTGAGTATTTGGTGACAGTGAATTAAGAATTTGTATGTGGGAAATAGGGGAAGACTAGGTAGAGTAGACAAAGGAAGGAAAGGGGGAAGGAAGCCAAGCCTGCTCATATCCCTACAGCTTCAGCAAAAAGGAGTGCCAGCTGTTGTCTCCTTGTTTATTAGGTGTTTGCCTTTAGAGCAGCACCACTAGCCCCAGGTGGAATTGAGGCCCTGCTGTGTCACGTAGTGAACAGACGTGGAGCAAGAGTCAGCTTCTTCCTCAAAGTGCTTAGAATTTAAACATAAATAAAAGGTGAGGAGGCTAAGAGAAGTGAAAGGACAGGGCCAGGGTCACACAGCAGATCATAAGCAGCCTTGGAAGAGATCATTGGGCAGATTGTTGAAACAGGATCTTAGGCTCCTGACTCCTGGGGTCAGTGCCCCTGTCCCTTAGACTGTGCGCTGTGGGAGGAGTGGGAGCAAAAGTAGTGATAATTGCAGTAGATCCTTTCTAGTGGTGATGAATTGTCCTGCCCTGCGGTTTGTTGACTCCAACCTGGAGATGCTGATAAGAGGATTGGGCGGGGAGATTGAGCAAACTGTTACATGCCTGTGTTTGTCCCTAGGGTTTTCTACAAGGTGAAGAGTCGCAGTGCCCATATGAAAAGCCATGCTGAACAGGAGAAGAAGGCAGCAGCACTCAAGCAGCAGGAGAGAGAGGCAGCAGCAGCAGCAGCGGTAGCAGCAGCCCAAAGCCAGGCACAGCAGGAGGAGAGCAGCGGCAGCAGGAGCAGCAGTGGCAGCAGTAGTAGTGGCAGCTCCGATGAGGACAGGGAGATTTAGCGACAAGCCAGAAGAGGAGGGAGTAGCCAGGCTGGACCCAACAGGGCAGTGCAGGTCAATACTCCATGTGTTTGCTTCCTTTGCTGCACTTTCCTCGTTGGAACAGAGGTCTACCTGGCCTCAGTGTTGCCACTTCCTCATCCCACATGCTTCACCTCGATTTGCCTGAACAAACCGAGCCAAACCAGTGGATAATGGATCTGTGTGAACTTGAATATTCTTTTTTACAAATAAGATTTATATTTTATTTATGAAGAGACCCTGAGGTACTCAGTAGAAGTCATCCAGAGTGGAATTCAGTTCTCCATCAGGTCAATCAGACTTTTCCCTATGTGCTTTCTCGGATCTGTGTTGACAAGACCCTTTATTAGATCCCTATAAAGCCTTACAAACCTGAGCAGGAAGAAGGATATTCTGCTCAGAGACGCACAGCATTTAGTTACTGTGATGCTGGCAGTGGATAGAGCTTGCCTTCCACAGCAAATCCTCTTTTCTGTCATTTCTCTTCCTGCTTTCTGCCAGGGGTGTTCTCCACGCTCTCTGCTGGCTTTGCTGAATGAGACATGGCTTAGTGAAACAGGTGCAAAAAGAGAAGGCAAAGCCCCGCCCTCTCCTGGAGAGAGAGCATTTTTTATTTTTCTGTAGCAGGTGAGATACCTGCTGGGTTTTTGGGGGTTTATTTTTTGTCGGGGGAGGGAATCTGTGCCATAAAGAGTCCTGCAGTGGACGCGAAGCATCCTGTGGGATGAGAGCAGCAGTGCAGCTCAAAAGTCCTGCTACGTTGCATATAGAAAACAAAGCAATTGATCTTAGCTCACTTTTTTTGAAAAATCTGGTTCCCCACACATATCAAGTTGAAAGTGGTGGGTGACCTTTTGAGCTTTAACTTGTTACAGAGGCAGTGAGGTTGTTCTAATGAGGCTTGAACCAAGATCCCAATGTTTTTATGGATGGACTTTGGTCTCCTGATGTTTCCTTAATCTCCTACCCCAGATGCTCCTTTCCTTCTCCTGGTGGCCTTCCCCCATTCTTTTGTGTGGTCTACAAATGGCCATCCCTTAGATTATGCTCCAGGAGTAGTGAGATTTTAAATGCCTTATTTATATAAATATCCTCAAAGGGAATATTCATTTAAAAGAGATGTGGCAGCATGTACTGTATGTAGGAATGTCCTTCTCTTTATTCCCACGCAGTAGTTGGACAGCGGAGCTTGTTGGGCTCTCCTGTCATGACCCCCTCTTCTGGTGAAATGCATTCTCTTTTGCAGAGCTGCAGAAGAGCCACTAGATATGTATAGATCCCCAGTATCAAACAGGGGCCAACAAGCCTGGTGTTGCAACAGAAGTTAAAGAAGGCAAAACACAGGTCATTTGACATGAATGTTAATATTGTACAGGATTTCTCCAAATGTTATACATATTCGACTTATCATTTTATGTCATAAAACTGTATGAACCTAGGTGTTTTCTTGGGCTGCATACAGAATTGTCTTCTGGACACTGCAGAGGAATGTAATTATTGCTTTTGTAGAGATCAAGATAGCCACATCCACCTTCACTGGAGGTGTAACTGAAGAGAACCATCGGATAAGAGGGGGCCAATCCTGGGGTCAGGCATCAGCTGTATCGCAAGGAACTTGTAAATCCAGAAAGCTGTTTCTCCCTCTCACCTCTAGTAGAACATCTTGTGTTGATGTTTGTTGCATTTAATTGCTTGAGCAAAGAGGTGTGGTCAGGAACATTGCCACCTAGGCCTGGTATAGCATTTTCCATCAGTAGATCTCAAAGGAGATCAGATCAGTATCACTATCCTTGTTGTTTACATGTTGGGAAGCCAAGATCCAGAGGTGAAGCAATTTGTGTGAGGTCACTGAGAAGGTGAATAGCGGAGCCAGGAGTAGAACCCAGTCCCAGTCCAGCTCTATAGCGACGAGGCAGCACTGACCCTGTAATAAGCACTGACCCTGTAATAGTGTGGCTTTGAATTTCCAGCTTGCCAGTTCCACACAGTGAAAATCAGATCAACCACCTGTGGCTCAACAGTGCCATCTGCTGGGCGGACTGACTGGCTAATGGTCTGTTCATTCCTGAGCAGGGCTGGTTCCCATAAAATGAGCAGGCTACTTGATGATCCAGCTGACTTGCTGTTAAACTTCAAGCAAGAGAATGCCTCTGTGCTTGCCCAACTACAGAGCAATGCAGGACAAACTGAAGCCTGTCAGCTCCGTGACCTTCTCTTGCCATATGGCACTGGAGCTTCCTATACACTGAAATTTGGGCCTGACTTGCACCTGCATTATTTCACTGCCTATTTATGTCCTTGGGCCATATATTTGATTACCCTACAAGTTAAGGTGTGCAGCTGTGTTCACCTTCTTAGCAACAGAAAAGATAGCTTCTTTTAAGTAAGAATAAACATGGTTAATAGGGAAATGTTTTCTTTTTAAATATTAACTTTTACTACTGAAAAAATGCCCCCTTACCTTTGTAACCCAATGTTTTCCTTATGTACCAAGCCTCAGCTTGTACCAGGGATCAAAAGACCAAATTCCAGCCTAGATTCCGTCTTTCCCTGTACAGTCGCATACAACTTGGTCCATTGCAGGATTTGGATGACTGTTCCTTTGTCCCTCTGTGAAACCAGCCTTGTCTGGAATGAGGGCAGGTGGCAAATCCTGTGCTGTTGAAATCCATTAGCAAACTGGAGAGAATCAAAAGTAAACATTTATTTAAAAAAGAAAAAAGCTCTAGCAAACCAATCTTCCCATTAGGAGTTTAAATTTAATTAATAAGTCTTTCTTTTGGAAACTGGAGATGGCACATGCTTCATGCTGTCCCTAGCCCTGGTGAGGAAGCAGCTGTCTACTGCATTTCAATTTAAGTAACTTTACTTCTGAATTCTTCTCACTTGCGTTGGTTCCATTTTGAGTGTTGTGCTTAATAGTGTTGTAACCTTTTATTGGATCTTATCCTTTAGTATGGCAGCTGCTTCTGGGAGTTTGGAAAGTCCTTTCTGGCTATCAGGTTCTGGAAATAGTGGAGTGGTGTAATAAATTAAAAAGCAAGTAGGGCACTTTGTGCATTTAAAAAAATAATTCTAAAAGTACTGCAGAACACGCTATGTTAGAAGGGAGGAATAGGTTGCAATCGGACCTAGACAGGTTACAGGGGTGGGCAGATGAGAACAGGACGGGTTTCAACACTGACAAGTGCAAGGTACTGCACCTGGGGAGGAAGAACCAGCAGCATACCTACAGGCTGGGGAGCTCCCTTCTCGTCAGTGCAGAGGTAGAAAAGGATCTTGGAGTCGTTATTGATGCCAAAATGACCATAGGTCGACAGTGTGGGGATGCGGTCAGGAAGGCCAACCGCACTTTATCATGCATCCACAGATGCATCTCGAGGAGGTCCAAGGAGGTGATCCTCCACCTCTGTGTGACATTGGTCAGGCTGCAGTTGGAGTACTGTGTCCAGTTCTGGGCGCCGCACGTCAGGAGGGATGTGGACAACATGGAGAGGGTCCAGAGGAGGGCCACCCGCATGATCAGGGGGCAGCAGGGCAGGCCCTACGAGGATAGGCTACGGGACCTGAACCTGTTCAGCCTCCACAAGAGAAGGCTGAGGGGGGGTCTGGTGGCCGTTTGAAAACTAGTCAGAGGGGACCAGCAGGCATTGGGGGAGTCCCTGTTCCCCCGAGCACTACCAGGAGTGACTAGAAATAACGGTCACAAGATGGCAGAGGGTAGATTCAGACTAGATATCAGGAGGCGCTACTTCACTGTCAGGGCGGCTAGGATCTGGAACCAACTTCCAAGGGAAGTGGTGCTGGCTCCTACCCTGGGCGTCTTCAAAAAGAGGCTAGACAATCACCTAGCTGGGGTCATTTGAACCCAGCATTCTTTTCTGTCCAGGGCAGGGGGTCGGACTTGATGATGTGCTCAGGTCCCTTCCGACCCTACCAGCTATGAAACACTGCACTTTCCTACTGAATGCCTTTGCCTAGATTAATGTGTCCACAGAAATGGACATATTAAATCAGGCAAGGTTTTTCTCTCTTACAGTTTGGGGGGGAAAAAAAAGTAGTTCACCCCTTACACTGAAAATTGGACATAGATCCTGGATGAAGCCATGATTCCAAACAGAGAATTATTGCTCTTCTGTTACATGCCTATTCACCCTGTTGGAACAGAAGATTAGTGCCAAAGGGTAAAAGGCAAAGAAATGTTTTATGTATTGCTTTCCATTAGTATTTTACAGTGCCCCCAAAGTCTACTGTTTGGCTGTAGCTTTGAAGAGGTTATAAGCTAGTGTGACTTGCCATTGCAAATGTTGGCAAGCAATTGACAGACTGTAGAGTGAGAAAATACAGGAGCCCAGCAACAGGATTGTATAGCAACTGTTGATCCTTCTAGATCATGGTATATGCATGAGAGGTCACCCAGACCTTCAAACATGTATG